CTCACGCAGCTGTTCCTCGGTGAATTCACGTTTGTTTTCCTGGGCAAGTTTCGGTCCTAGAGTGGGTCCCGTGTATTCCGAATGCGTTTGGCACTGAAGCATACAAAAGAAGTGCGGGGGGGAGTTGTTAGGGTAAGTATGGTCGACCTGAGCACTGCTATTCAACGCACAGCGGAAGGAAGCTTGGGTCGCATTCCATGCGCTTGCTAATAACTTTGTTGTGACTCACAACACACCGCTCTGTCAGCTGCGTTGTCTGCGTACGTGCTGATCTTGCATTTCCAGTTTCTGTGTCTATTTCATTAATATTAGTCTGCCCCCCCCTTCTTAACTTGCCTCGTTATGTCTATAAATTCTTTGCGTACTCATGCGTGCTTAAGCACTTTATACTCTTGTATACCAACCTTACTTACTTACTAGCTCATCGGGGAAACTGAAAAAAAAAACTGTCTAATGCCTTTTTATTTGTGTATTTTGCCGCATATTTTTCACAAGGCGAAATCTATACTTTTGTTGTATGGTAAAAGCACCGGCCATTACCGTTCTGACATTTACATGTTCACATGATGAAAAATCGTGATTTTTCGTACACCAATTTCCCTTAATGATTACCGCGCATGTCCTGACTACACCAACCGGGAACACCAATCAAGGTTTACCAGGAGCTACTTGTCTACGTGATTCGTCTCGTCGTCTTATACCTCCCTGATTTTCGAACGTGAACTTTATGAGAGGAGATCCCGTCTGAATAGCATTATGCATTACGATTAAGTATACCGCAAAATAATCATAGGTTGCAAGGCACAATAGCTGATTTAATGTTCTCTCCGGCTCATCATGGATTCTATTTTCGGCGACTGACCCATCTATTGAATCAGAAATTCAGCTACTACATAAACTGTATTCTGTCTTTTATTCTACGAACGCTTTCACTAAAGTAAAAATCCTTTCCTCAAAAGCGAAGGCTGATGTAATCATGCGGACGTCCGCGTATACCGAAGCCAGTTTATAATAAAGACAGATTATCAGTACTGTATACAGGATAGTTCAGACTCGCAAATAAACCATTCTTCGCAGAACAGACGTTTGGTGGTATCTTTTAATCTAGTAAGCTTAATTTTCTGAACACAGTTTCTCCCTCGAGAAGGATCGTGCGTTTGCACCTTGATCATTAAATTCCTGTATTTACTTTGAAGTAACTGGTCTCAGGATTACGTGGGATCCATTTAACTAACTAAACTTGAGCTCTCTCCCTCTGTAACTTGGATAACCTTAAATAATGTGATGGCCCTTTGCGAACTGTCAATTTAGGCTACTGAATAAAAAAGCAAAGTCTTCGGGAATTACTATAAACGTACCGTCCTGCCAAGAGCGAAAATAGTTTGTGTAACCTGACCAATGTCTTTCTTTTCAAAGAGATCCACAGTCTGGAAGAGATCAGCTGTAGGGACACCGTAGGCCTTGATGGCGTCCAAGAAAGCGTTGATATTTTCCATAATCTTAAAAGGCATGGTCGCGTTCTCGTTTATTTTCTTCACGCTACCCGGCTTGATCTTGTTAATCAATCTAGGGAAAAGTAGATGTGTTACGGAAATGTGTGCACCAAAAAACAAGCACATGACCTTTTGCCAGGTTAAAGTGGATTTCAAATAAACACCATGCGCTGTGTCTGGTTGCCACACTTTTTAGTCGAAGTCATCCAGAGGTGAAATAATAATATTTTGACAGATTTGATGAACAAGAGGCTTTCCCATGACGAACTATATGTTATAGGTGTTTTCTGCGATTAACCGGATCAGAAGCTAATAATAGCGTCGGTGCTCGACAAGCCTTCTCCTTTTCCCATGCAAACATTTAAAACGCGGATATTCTCATATACTCATGAAAACAAGAAATTATGAAAATGGAAAAAGAGTCGGATGAACTAATACTGATGCAACTTGATACTATATAACAAACTAAACTAAAAGCAAGATTACTAACAACTAAATTAATGCATACTAGAACTACTAATGCTTAAACGTAAACTAAAAACTTAACTAAGTGATAAACTACAACTAAATAAGTAGCTAATAATGTCATGGTAAAATAACGTGTTTCTTATAAGGAAACCTTACCTTGCGCTCTTTTGTTTGGTCGTTTGTGCTGCTGATGGGAGGAATACCCAACGAGGACAACGGGGCTGTCTAAGTCATTGTGCTTTTTCATATTTTCATGAAAATAGTGCAGGTAGTATATATAATTTGGGAAGAGTGGTCAGGAAATCTTAAATGGAGTGCTCAAGAAGGTCGTTAAGGTGGTTCCAACAAACGCAAGGGCGACCGGAATGCCATTTCTGGCTTTTTAACCGGAATCGGCCGGTCATACACAATTGTAAGTTCAGCGATGATACCCATGTAAGCATTGAGGAAGTAGAGTTAGGCGAACGAACGTTTTCGATTAATTCATCATCAAGCAATACAATAATATAAGAGAGGGTAGAGTCAACGAAAGTTTAAGCAATAAATCAGTAGTTATTAGGCTGATAAGGGGAACAATTTTAAGTGTAGAGTATATGGGATTCAGTGAACGCCACGCCACCATGGTTAATTAAAACGCCTAAACGTGTAGTCATGTACATAGTTGGACGAGTTAGGGGCTTATGCAGAGCTCATTAGTGTTTTTTATTGCTAACGTAGAACTTACTTGCATAAGAGGACGCCATCCTTGAGGATTTCTTCGTAAATTTTGGAACGATCTAATTTGATTTCCAATAGCTGCTCGATCCAGGTCATTACATCCTCCTCCTGTTGTTTGTCCCGTTTCCCATCGAGCTATCCGCCACCGCAGAAAACAACATTTTAATCAATTTGAAGCCGAATTCACGTTTTTAATTAAATAAGGTATTTTTAAAATTTTACATACTAGTAGCAGCTGAGTTCTCCGAGTGCGGCGTGATATAGCGACTTGGGTGGAATGGAATGGGAATATAATACAATTCTCAACTACTCGGGATTCATGTGCTATTTACAGGGAGATTAGGTTGTGTTACTTTAAGCTGACTATCCTAACTACCACCTAAACAGAATGCTAATAACCTAGGTAGTACTGTGCAATAGCAGACAGTGCCAGATTGCAAAAACACACATTACAACCTGTCGAATAATCCTATTTTATCTGTCAACTTTCGACTTCCTGATGTTGATTTGAGTTTAAGATAACGCATTCTGTCAGATTGAAAATTACTGCAAACCAGAGTCTCTCCGGCTATTTTTAATTCTAGAAAATGTCAGTTAAAACTGATGCACCCTTAATAATGGAGAATTCACATAATTTACATAAGGAGTAAATTTAATGCTATCATTCCGAGTAGAAATATTTTTGCAGTTACTCCGCTTTTGTCCTTTGACCCTGGTTTCTTGACAAAAGTGGATATTACTTTTTGTAATTATAATCAAGGTGTGCATTAAAAAATTTACATTGGTATGGCTCAAATGAAGATTTAACTAAACGAAGACCATCTTCCTTGAAGACCCACCTTCTTTCGAACTTGATAGCTGAGGCCGCTGGGTGGAGGAACGTTCGACATGGTTGAGGAAGCACAAACCGTAGATTGCGCGGGACCACAGGCAATTGCTGGCAAGCCTCTGCGAAAGCTGTTCTTGCCCTACGGAAGCTAGACTTTTGTCCAATCACGGGCAGGGTGCAGGCCTATTGCGTATTGATTATGCCATGTGTACAGACATGTCCACGCCTACGCGCGTGTAAGTGCACATATTTGGAAACTGGCACTACGACCATAAAGTGCGACCTAAACGGCCACCGATTGGCTACTTAGGTAACTTGCTAGGACAGGGGTATTTTATTGACCGCAGTTTGTCAGCTGCACGCTTTTGGCTGCGCGGAAGGTGCCAGAGGGTGCCTTTGGGCTATCGCGCGGAACGGTGTTCTGGTCGTTCAACAGCGTTACCTTTGTACTTCTGAATTAATTACGCCTTAGATATTGTCAGATTAAATTGAGGAAGCAACCGCCTCGTTCGCAAAGGAGTGCCCGCTACACTATTTTCTGCCTTTTAAGCCACCTGCAGTCACTAGCAACTGGCGGGAGGGGCTTGCTGTTCGACAGTGGTGATTATGACTGGTGAATTTCTTTTACGCAGTAAACGTTGTTCCGAAATCTGTCAAATGTGAACAGTAGAAGGTAAAAGCGATGTGCAGTCTATTTATGGAATGCAGCGTATTTTGTGTCACCTAGGTACAGGGGGATGTCCAGTGTATGGGTAGAAAAAAGCGTTGTTTTGATAACTGCTTTCGCAACCAGAAACTCGTGTTTTACAAACACTAGCTGCACTGGAATATGCAGTAAACGGTGGACGACGCTAACCTACCGCGTTCTTCTTTAGTGATAGGAAGAACTAGGAAGTACTTTATTTAGATTTGCAACTTATTCAACGGTTCTACTATTAGGGCGTCAAAACTTTGATGATGGTCATACATATTCCGGCAGAATCACAGGTTTTTGCACAAAACACGGGATAAATAGGTATCAGTTTTGAAAACCTTATATTAATTTATCAGGTAACCTCTCAGCATGAGTTATTGTATAGGAAAATCCAGGAAAAATGATAATTATCTCACTTACTACCTTGAAACAAAATTCAAAAGCCAGAACTAAATGCTTAAGGGTGATCTGCAACTTCATTTTTAGAACTCTCAATCATAACCTTGAGATTTAATCTTCAACGGTTAACGTTGCTTTATTGCGAATGTACAACAGATAACTTTATACAGTCAGGGCTAACAAATGTATAATCATATGGCGCCATCGTTTCTTACGTTCTTCTTCTTCTTCTTCTTCCGAATTTAAGCATTAGGTTCACAATCGGTCGAATTATGTTTCTTCCATAAGACTAAAAAAGTTGCCAATAAAAGCGAATAAACGAGGCTCAGGAAGTAATTGGTAAGAAGAAGTTATGATCGCTGGAACGAGAATTTTATGCGCCTGATGTTTTGAAATCCATCGCGCATCCATAAACAGAGACAATAGCAATAGAAAGGATCGCGTAAGTTCAAGCCGGCCTAAATCGGAGGTCATCATCCATTTAAGATAAATTACCCTCCTATAGAACGTATGCAACGTGTGGAATTCACCGAGACAGCCAAGTTTTTCACAAATTAGTCAGTTTGCTTCTAGTTTCTGCGACAAGCGCACGTTCTGAAGACTTCAAATTGCTGTGTTTCGCATTTGATAAATAAAGAACCTCTATTTTAACTCCTTGGAGCTAACTGGGCATGCTCAGTTTTTCTACATATAGGAGTTTCTCGATTAATCAATACAATTACGCGATAGTGCATATCTAATTGTAAACCACCAACGGAAGCTTATGAAACTTGACAACGTCTTAAAATATTTAAACAGACGTAGTGCAACAGGCCGTAATAATATGAAGTCCCTGTATTTAAAATGCCCCCGTGCTAAAGTTTAGAGAATTAGAATAGGTGTTAAGGGTATATTTACTTTAACTGTTAACATTAGTAGGGTGAGGGTAAGACGTTATACAGGCCGAATAGTCCTTTACTTTTAATCTGGGGTTCACGTTGTGCCATAGGACAAGGCACAACTTAAATTTACTACAAGTTCATCCGGAGAACGAAGAGCCACATTTTTGCCTACAAACGATCGATTTGTAATGATACGAGAAACATAAAACTATGTAACTGAAAACTTTAACGGAAGACATAGTAGAAATGCCGCTGAGTTGACTGCAGTTTGCTGAGATTGGGCCTAATTGCATAGAAACCATTAATTGGGGCTCATGCTTAGAAGTACTTTAGATGCAAGTGGATAAGTGATGTGTCAATTACTGTGGTTAAACATATCGGTCACCACTCCGAAAGTCAGAATGCATATACATCAGAGCAGATGGTTAAACTTAATCAAATGAAACATTTTCACAACTTCACTCCAATATTTAAGAAAATATGTACCACAGAGAATCGATAACCATCAAATGAGAACAATTAATAAGTAAACTACACCCAGGAACTTCTGAACTTTGGAGATTTCATGAATTTTGAAACATCGTTTCCCAGGTACAAGTTTGAAGACAGCGTAAGTAGCAGAATTTAATGGCACCATAAATTTCGCTAGC